CGCGACCTTTGACCCTCCGCCGCATTTTCTTTCTCTCTCTTCTTATTTCTTCTCTATCTCTTTTCATTGCTATTTTCTCTCCGTTGGTAGAACGAAATCGTTTTCGTTCGTCTTCTCTTTCGTTTCTCTTCTAATGTTCGATATCTCTAACGATATATATATATATATAATATGTTTATGGTGTACTTAAAATGTGTGTGTATTTAATGTCAACGTTGAAATATATTTTCTTTTTCTTAATCGCGAACTATCTATCATTTATATTTCTTTTGTCTCTTATCTTTTATTTAAAAATATTTTTGTACAATATTCCAACGCGAGTATGCTACTTCGAAGAGGGTTAATTATTAGCCGAGGATACGCATCGTTGGATGGTAACTTTTAATGACGAGACTCTAATCACCATTTGTTAGAACGATGAATGCTAATTGCTGATTCGAAAATATATTAACACGAGCTACGGTGTCCCAGTTACTATTCAATTATAAATATACCTATGATGTATGTATGCGTAATACCGTGATTTTAATTACCATCACGTAACGTCAAAAATATATTTATTTCACACGCGAGCTAAATAAAATCCAAATAAATAATTATGCGATATATTTGTTGATTCGTTTATATTTTTATTTGTTTTTCCTTTGAAAAACATCCAATTAGGATCAATCGTCGATCGATTTATGTATCGAGAACGAAAGATCGATACGTTTCGTGATACAAGTTTATTCCTCCTGGATATACCGTGGAATCGAATCACAAACTATTTTCTCAACGTATCGATAATTGGAAAACTTTCCACTTCCTGCCCGTCTCGTCCCTCTCTCTTTCTCTTATTTCTAATCCAAAGATCTCTTCGTTTATGCATGCATGTAAACGAAATCCTAACGAGAAACGTGATTAGAAAATATTTACTATAGTTTTACAAAACGAACGTAGAAAGACATACGAGTGAAAACCATTTATATGGAATATTAACAATCCATATTGTATAGGATGAACCCAAAGTTTCTAATCGAATGTCAAAAAGTCCCTGTCCTTTCACGTATAAATAATTTCTTATAAAAAAACCTTTTGACATCCATTGTACAAGTAATTAAATTTAACTAATATAAAAAAAAAAAGTAGGAATATTATATTACATGCGATATTACTCAACGAACTCTGTGAGGTAACTGTGAGTTAGAAAAGTTACAAAGTTATTTCGTTAAAAATCAAATAATTCAACTAATTAGAAGGTAATAGCTAAGTGAAGCTAATGATGCAAAGAGTTAACGTATCCTTGCCATTTTGTTTTCCGTTTTACTGAACGGTTTATTGAAACCGTGAGAGGAAAAAGAAACAAAATGGAGGAAGCGGATGGTAAAGTAAGAAAAGAGACAAAGACAAAATCTTGTTAACAGAACGAAGAGGAATACAGAAAGTTCATTGAATTCTTAGAATAGTGGTGGTTGTTTTCAAAATCACTGAACTAATCCTCGTTCTATCATTTTCTCTCATGGAAAAAAATAGACAAAAATCATAAATAATCTTAACCAATGTTAGTCATGCTAATCGATATTTTTATAAGATTCAAATAAGGATAGAATGGAAAAGAAAAAATAAATGTTGATAAAACATAGTTGTTTAGAAAAATATATATTCCTTCGAAACTATGTTCGTTCGTGTCCAAATAAAGAGAACAAGAGTCATTGCATTTGTATAATTAACGTTAGAAAAGTTGCAATGTAACTTATTTTACGGTAAGACGAGTTCTTTGACATCGTTGCATTCTATGCGACTGACTCTCTGTCTACGATGGCATATAGAGTAGTAGCAACTCGAATAGTATAGTTTGTAATTGCGCAAAATACGTCTACCTTTCTTGGATTACGATCGTGTTACGATCATAGAAAGAGATACACTCTGTAACCATATAATGCAAACATAACGGATACGTAATTACAACATACTATTACATAATATTTTATAGATACAAGTATACCGTTTATATATCTACCCATGCATTTAATCGTCATTTATTCGATTCAAACTACAAAGTAATTCTTCAATTAGATTTTATTAACTATTTCTACAAATTCCTAGTCCTCTCTATTTCGATGATAGGAAGATTTACGAAAAAGTACAAAAATGTATTCTATAATTTGGGTGGTACAGTTTCATCAGTCTATGTAACTAAATCAGCTGTTTAAAGTTGTGACGTTTCGTGGGTAATCTAGTGTAAGAAAAAGAAGTTTGTCGATCCCACGAAGAAGGTAGAGAAAGAGAGAGAGAGAGAGAGAAGAACGAAGAAAAAAGAAAAAAAGAGAGAAAGAAATAGAGAAAAACTGTAAGAACGATCCCTCGGGGGTTAGGATTCCACACCGGAGGAAGAAGCCTCAGCTGTTTGCCGATGGAAGCCATAGAATACTTTTTATACTACCACCCCTTCGACTCGCATCCATCGTGAAGGAACGCAGAAAATCCATGGTGTTTGTTCATACATTTTCTCTTTTATTATCATGTCATTTATATACGCGAGATATATTGTTAGACTTTTATGGTCTCTTAGAAAAATTTATTTCCATCTTTTATAGATTTTTTGTATAAGGATTAGCTGTGTCCGAGTTTCGTTTTAAATCGAACAAAATAATGATTTTACACGTGAAATGGTTTAAATTCGAACAAATTAAAGAGAAGAAATATTAAATAGAGAAAGAAGTAAGGAAGAAAAAGAAAATATATGCGGTATACACCGACTACGAATAACACCATGCGTCGTAGATCGTATTTCGAATACGACCCTTGAAACTTGGCGGAACGAATATACGCGTGCTGTTTCTTCGCTTCGGTGAACTTGGACTTTGCTGTTGTATTGTTGCTTCCTTCGTGTTCAGGAAGAAAATCTCTTCGAGCTTATCACAGATCAGGATGAAAGGGTTACCTACTTGATTAGAAAAGATCTAATTATATGATGAAAACGCGAATCAAACAAACAAAAATATTCTTCGTGCGATCCATGCAACAATTTTCTATTTAAGATTTAGGAACGATCAATAGGGTAGGGCCCTTTTTAATGAAAAATAATGTTCCTATCCCTATTGGAAAATAACATTCATTGCATATACATAAATGCAATGCGTGTGTAAAATATTCACGCCTTAAATACCATAATTTTCCAATTTATAATAGAAAAACACATATAATTATGAAGATATGGAAAAAGAGGTCAAGATGATTATATTAGAAAAATAAGGGTATATTTTGAAATCATAAAGATCGAACCCTAGAATCAAGGATCTGCTTTAGAGAATATAAAACCGATGATCGGGGAGGATGATAAAGATGATTAAATGACTACGTTAGTGGTTCCAATGGTTGAACCAGTTAATACGGCTTTGTTTCTTATTAAGGGTTTTATATTATATACCGAACTCGAGCCGTGATCAACTCGCTATGGTTCTCTTTTCAAGATTAACTTTATCTACCTAGCGCAAAGTCAGCGAAGAAACACGATAGCGGAAGTATATATGTATATACTTAAATACACACAAAATATATTCGCATGTATACATATTATGTGCATAGGATTAATCGCTATGAGGATTTCTTCCCGTAAATAAAACGTTTTAACTTATGATAATTAACGTTCTCCATTTTCTCTCGAAATAGTCTTACTCAAACTTTTCTACTATCTTTTCTAATTTTTCTAAAATAGAATAAAAATATATGAATAAAAGTGTATGCCTGTGTATATATCAAATATGTCATTTTACTTGATCATTTTTAAATATCATCCCCGATGGAAAACATTTTGAAATGAGAAAAGAAAATGAAAGGAAAGAATAAAAACAACTGAGAGTAAAAGTAAGAGGGAGAAAAATAAATATTATATAGACCACAAGGGATTCTTTGTTACGATTTATCCCAAGGAAGCCCTAATCTTTCGTCCTACGGTGAAACTTGCTTTCGGCACACTGCGAGATCCGTTTCCCACGGTGCGGCAGGTAACACGAAACGTTTTCCCTGTAATATGGCTCTCTCCCTCTCTCTCTCTTTCTTACTTCGTGTTTCTTTCGTCCTTTCTCTTTTTCTCTTTCTCACTCTCGCTTTACCAGACGATACACACCATGCTATATACGCGACGGGGTCCATGAAATCGAAAGAGCACCTCCTCTACCCTTTTTACTCAGCTAAGAGAAAGGATTACGAGCACGAGATTCGAGAAACTGCTCGACCGAGACGATCTTACCGTTTTTATTTCTCTTTTTTATTTTTTATTTCTTTCTCTTCTTCTTCTTCTTATTTTTTTTCTGATAAACGACATTTTTAAATTGCCCAACGGGGGTGAGGATCGCACCGATTGATCGTCTCGTGATTTGATCGTAAATTCTTCTTCTTCTTCTTCTTTTTTTTTGTATTTTTTGATCCGTTCGAGGAACGCTTGAGAAATCGTCTTCAAGGTGATAATTAGTCATACATTTTTTTCTTTCCTTCTCTTTCTTTTTCTTTTCGAACACACCATGTGAATTAGGTAATTTCAACGGAGATGGGGAACCTGACCGTTCGTATTTTTTACGTAACACGTATTGTGCCTCCTTAAGAGATCGTTATGGCGATCAAAGAATTCCTGGCATGGAAGTTGGGTTGTATAATCTCGACGGTATAATCGTCGATCTCCACCGAAGCAAAACGAATGTATATGTGGTGTTGTGTGCTTATATACATTTGACGTTTGGTTAGAAAGGAATAGTATATACACTTAAGAACGATAATAAATCGTCAAAAGTAACTTCGTCGAAGCGTGCTTCCGTTCCGAATGATAATTCCGGATAAATGAATTGCATCTTTAAGAGACACATCCGAAAAAACTAAGGAGGAGGAGGAGTAACAAGCCTAAATATCAAATCCTGCATCATCGATTAGTATTGTGCATAAAAGTGCATATAAATAAAATACTATTAAGGGTTGTGTCAATCGTTGTTGGGGTAAATAAAAAATAAGGCGAAGGTAGTACTCACGAACGGGCACCTTCTTAGGGTCGACAATATTGAGTCGTTGTTCGACCTTGTCGAGTCTTCGTCTGACTTGGGCACTCCTTTCAGCGACCACAGTCAGTTCCCGAGTGAGTTCGGCAAATATGTCCTCGGCTGTGGTGAGGAGCGAGGCCAGTTGTTTGAGGGAACCGGTAAGGGCCCCGTTCGCCACGGCCTCCAATTCGGCACCAACCGGTAACTCTTGTGCCGCCGCGCCGGATGGCACGTGACCGCGGCACAAGAAACGCGGCTCCACCTTTCGAATCACGAACGGCATGATCCTTCGACGAGGAACCTACGAAGATCAGTCCTTGGCGCATACCAGATGGTGATTATCCTTTATGATTAACCTTTATGAATTTCTTGGACGTTGCTGATCATCGACGATACCACTATTTCAATTCTATCAATGAATTTTTGTTATTAACGTTCTAACATCTCCATCATATTTCTATTATTTCACTTTTTTATTTATCTATTTCACTGATTTATCATCACACTCATTTTTTTCGAACCCCTTATCCCTTTTTTCTATTTATCTTATTCCATCTTTCTCTGTCTTATCTCTCTTTTTTTTTCATATTCGAGATCGTATATCCTTGCAGAGAATATCTCCTCGCACTTTACGTATATTCTTTTTCCTTTTTATTTATTTAATCTCACTTTTCAACAATATCAACTTATTATTTATTATGTTACACCATCACACGATTGATTGACTTTTCATTCCTTCTTTTTTCGCGACGAATAATTTTCCGCATTGTTAATATCGTGCATTATTTTATCGTGCATTATTTTATCGTGCATTTTATCGTGCATTTTGACTATTATTGTTTTAGGAAATAGGAATTGAAGGATTAAAAAGGTGTATAATAAGAAAAAAAAGAAAAAAAAAGGAAAAACAGAAAGTTGGAGAGCGAAGATAAAGGAAGAAACGCATACCGCGCGACGCGACGTCGGTGCGCCAAGTGCCGGCCGGTTGTGCGCTCCTTGTTCGAATAACTCGAAACCCACCGCCATTTGCGCTGCCATTTGCGCCGCCATGCACCAGCGCCATGCACCAGCGCCATGCACCGGCGCCATTTTGTCCCAATCAAATGGTGCCTTTGTATCATGGCACCCTGCATTCGGTATCTGCATTCTTGCCTCTGTTATCCTGATCGGCGGTTGGTAACATTGATTCCGTTTTTCGCTCATAAGGTTTCATTACTGTTATTGGTAATTGTAGTTATTTCTTTCTATGAATGTTTCAACAAATGACCGTACAAACGCTGTCAAGGAACCTTAACAGCACAAAAAATGAATAAGTGCTCTTAATTGTACATTAATTGCACGTTTAAAATCTATTATTGCACACTTTATTGATTAATTATTTAATTAGTTATTAATAATCGAAAAAACGAAAACATTTCTAAGCAAAGCAATGAATTTTTCGATTGTTTTTTGTTTTCAATCAATGGTAAGCCGTATTACCAACTGTCGATAAGATAAAGGTAGAGCACTGAAATTATTGATATGATGCCTAGCCATGTTACTAGAGTTTCAATATATTTTAAACCTGCTTTTTTCCTAGTAATTTTTAATAGCGAATAGTGTACACAGAGTGAATGTGTCAACAAATGGCACAAGAAGAAGATGCCGACAAGGATCATAAAAGATTTCTACTACTTTCGAAAATCTTTTCTTCTTTAACATTTACAAAAGAGGTTTGTCTTACAATAAGTTGAAAAAAATCTTTATTGTAAACTAAAATTTAGTAGTAGTAGGTAGATTCTTGAACAATAACGAAAGAAAAGTATTATAAGATAATACAATGTACCGTAAAATAAAATCTGATAATTGAAAAGCTATCGGCTAATGAGGGGTCATCTTTTCTTCGAAAAAGAATTCAATTGCAATTCTTTTCCTTAAGCCGTAAGGTGCTTCAAAGTGAGATTTAGAATTAGGGTGACGTAATTAATAGTCCTCCTTCGAAAGGATCTAATGGGTTTGGATTTCCTAATACTTTCTTTTTCATTCTTTATTCGACCTTCGCATGTGGAATTTTCACACGATAAACTTCATTCAATCGTTAGCCTCCAACTCTCTCCTTCTTTCTTTTTCGTTCCTTCTTTCTCTTACGTTTTACTTTTCGATAGAAACGATCGTCCAAACTTTCAAGCCGAATATTAGACAATTTATGAATATATTTTACAATCAAATTTTTCATAATATTTGATTCAACTTGAAATCAAATTTGAGGTTATTCGTGCAATCCGTTGGACGAAATGAAATTATACATTGTCAGAATAAGAAAAAGAACATATTCCAATAGTTTGTGGTGTAGTTATAAAAGCAATGTACAAGGATTTAACACGATTTTGTATGCCACCTACCTCTTTGGACATCATGTGATCCTGTAACAAAATGTAATTTTCCATTGAACTTTGTAATTTATAGAAGTGGATCTTTATTAGAAGTGGGATTTTATCCGTTGTTCAGGAACTCGATCGAATACGTGAACAATACACCAAGCTGGCTATGACGCGACTAACTTCATGCAGTTCAATTAATATCGCTGTGCGCGCGCATCGTAAATACCAGCAAACTTCATGCTGTTAAAATCATATCGCTGTGCGCGCGCATCGTAAGAATTCGCTCTCATCATTTTTTCGCAAATGCGCCAAAAGAAATATAACTTTAAAATTGTTAAACACACAATTGACGGTACTCCCAAAACGTGGACTATTGAACTTTGTACGATTACAAAATACATTTTCCTACAGATTAGCTAACATAAAAATTTTGCAAAGATCGTTGTAGTTACATGGGTAAAGATGTTGCGGGGAAAAAAATAATTAAAAAGAAATGTTGGAACTGGCGTAGAAGTAATAGTTGATACAGGAGGTCCTGAAATGCAAGCTCTCGAATTCTCGAACGGTGGAAAAGGATATCAGATTTTAGATAAACGATTAGATTATCGAGATAAATCTAGAAACAATGAGTTCAGCGATGCTCATTACCACTGTGTGACATCGCCAAGGATGTCGTCTTCTCTTTTTCTATTTTACACTCGGCGATTTCATCCTTCCACCATTAAGCACACTGCCAACCTACTCTTTCCCTCTCTCTCTGGCAGTGTGTAGGACGCGCGCGCGCGCACACACCCATCCGTAACCTCCCACCTTCTTTCTTCTCCCACTCGACGAAACACCAAGGCACCGAGCAACCACCCACCATGGAACGTTCCCTTCCAACCCTTTCCCCTGTATTCCTCCCTGTATTCCTCCCTACAGTCCTCCCTACAGTCCTCCCTACAGTCCTCCCTACAGTCCTCCCTCCCTCTCTCTTTCTCTCATTCGTGGCGAACTACTGCGAACTTTGTCTCTCTCTCACACTCTCTCTCTTGCTCTGAAAGAGAGAGAGAGAGGAGGTAGGCGCCACGAATTCGCCTCTCGGGGTCTCTCCGCAACTTCGGCTTCGCTCGGTCAGTTCCGGCCGGCGGTCAGAAGAATTCGTCAGTATACGCCGTGCCGTCTTGCCGGCAACTTCTTCTTTTGCGGTGTGATAGTTCCAAAATTTCACGAATCATTTCTCTTTTCCGAAAAGATAATACCGATTGTTTACTTTTCATTAATAATAATCATTCAGGTAAATTTATAGAACAATTTTTGTCTAAGTTATACGTATATGTGTGAACACGTTTATTATACATATATATTCTCGTAATTTCGTATGAGAGAAAATCGATGATAGAGAAAATCGTCATCATCGACGTTTAAAGTATCGTTGAATTTTCTACGCGTTGTTGTATTGAAATAAAAACAATTGCAATTTTTCCCGCCGAAATAGTGGTACGTCGAGTCGAGTGTTTTTTTTCTATTTTCTTTTTTAAAAAGAAATATGAACGAGAGTACGCATAAAGTATAATCAAAAACAGAAAGTATATACGAAGAGGAAATAAAACTTGGAGAAAAAGAGAGAGTGGGAGAAAATCAAATCACATCGAATTCTATCTATCGAAATTCGAAATAATAATAATAGTTATCGACGCTACACGATTATTAGGTATCGATAGTTGACAGTGTTATTAGTTAACGCCGACAAAATCGTAAATGTCTTTTTCGTTACGTATTCGTTTATAATTATCATTGACGAGAGAGAGAGAGAGAGAGAGAGAGAGAGACAGTGAGATATCAGGGAAATAAGAGGAGGAGGAAGAGGAGAGGAATAGGAGTATGAGGAAGAAGAGGAGGTGGTACATAATCGAAGTAAGGATCCATTATTTGTCGTGGTCAACGAGAAGATCTTAAACGGGGCTTTCCCTCCTAGCGGTGGGCCAATTTCTCTATCAAAACATGACCACGTGACGACGAGCGAGTACGACGGCGGCACAGCTTGTAAACATTGAGTTTAACCACGTGGTCTGCCCCTCTTCTTCATACCATCTTCTATCTTTCTTTTGATTCCTCTCTCTCGTTCCCTCCATCCGTTCCTCCCAACTTCCCTCCCACCTTCCCTCCCACCTTCCCACCCTCCCTCACTCACTCGTACACGTTCAATCGTTCCCGCGCGTCTCGGTTGCGCACACACCGATATATACCTCACCTCCCTGCTGCTCCCACACACACACACACACACATATATATACATCCCATAAGCGTAAACGACGTTCTCGCACGCTCTTTCCTTCTCTCTCTCTCTCTCTTTTTCTCTCTTTCTCTCTTTCTCTCTCTCGTGGCGACGAAGAGGAACGCGGCGCGCAGTACAGAGTGTATTCTCGCTCGATTGGCCGCCCAGTCGTGGTCGAGTCGATCCATCGTCGCGCTCGATTTTCTTCGCGATCCACAGTTATATTACTACTACTCTCTCTTTCTGCCTTTTTCCCTCCTTTTCTTTCTCTCTTTTACACGTATACACACAGCCTTTCTGCTGTGTGCACGCACACACTATCTATCTATATATTCTTTTTCTTCCTTTTCCACACTCGTTGTGGCAGGGTGTGCAAGTGGAACACGCAAGTTCAACACGCACTCGTTCCTTATCTTCGATACACTCCGCGTGCGTTCCTCTCAAAGTTCGGATTATTTTGGAATTTAATTGAGAATGGTTATTTTAAAATATGGGGGAAAGAGATTAAAGTAATTAGCGAAATTTAATAATCAAATAATACGAGACTAACGTTGGTTTATCTTCTCTTTCGTTTTATTCAAGGTTGAGAATAATATAAAGAAGAAGAAAGGAAATAAGATTATAGATAGACAAAGAGTTTTAAACGTATAGAAGAAGAAGTAGAAGAAAGAAGAAGAAGAAGGAGAAGGATTAGCAGTAGGAGGAAGAAGATCAAGCCCTTGTGTCGATGCGCGCGAGCGCAAGCGCGCTCAATTCTTAAGGTCGACGACTGTAGGGGACTACTTACTACCGGTACTTTTCTTGCCCGCGAAACATGCACGCGGTCAAAGTGGAATATACAGAAGAGGCCAACATGATGGACTCGGTCCCAACGGTATCATCCTCTTCGAGTACAACGACCGCATCTCAACAGCAGCAGCAGCAACAACAAGGAGTACCGTTTGACGAGAACAGTTTTGAGCCTCAAACGAGAGCAAGATCAAACACGTGGCCATTACCCAGGCCCGAAGGATACGTCGAAGGTAATGTTGGAGTAGGTGGTGTTGGAGTAGGTGGTGCTGGTGCTAGTGGTGCTTGTGGTACTGGTGCACAAACTGGAAATGACATTGGCGAGGCTGGTACACCACCTCAACAGAGTACCCTAGGACAAGGTGCTGGGAGTGCTGCTTTATTTCCCGTTAAGAAGAACTCTTCGAGAAGAAACGCATGGGGTAATCTCAGCTATGCCGATCTGATCACTCAAGCGATCACCAGTGCACCCGAACAAAGGCTCACTTTATCCCAGATTTACGAATGGATGGTCCAGAACGTTCACTATTTCAAAGACAAGGGTGATAGTAATAGTAGCGCCGGTTGGAAGGTAAGTTTTATACTTATTCAAATTATTTGTTATATCTATAGGTATATTTATTTGGAAATGATCGATTCGTTTAGTAAATAATCTATGCCTATTAGATAATATTATAACGTTGTAGTAAGCAGACTGTCCTAGCATAGATTATTACGCTCTTTATTTCCTTCGTTTGTATTTTGATTACGAGAGAAATGAATTTTAGTCTTTGAACGTTGAGCTATATTAAGACAAGAAGAAAAAAAGAGGAAGAAGATCTAACAAGATGGTATCGATCTATTACGAAATTATAAAATAATGATTACTTTTCGGTTAGTTACTTTAATTATTTAGGAACTTCATTGGAAATAATGGATGACGAATTATCTTTCTACGTAGATGTGATAGATCAGAGTCCGATCGATTAAAAGTAGGAAGATGATGATGATAATAATAATAATAAAAATAATAATCGTAGCGTGTGGATCGAAAAACGGATTGTTCTTTTTCTCTCTTTTCTACATCCTTATCTATCTATCTACCTATTCATCTATTTATTTATCTGTGTATCTATAAATCCACCTATCTCTCTTTTCGCATGCATATTTAATTATCGAGGAAATCGTTATCGCGCGCTACGAAACAACGTAATTTATAACGTAACGTCGTATATTTCGTAAGCTCGTTTTTTACTTTCAAGTTTTAGATCGGTGTCTTCCGTCTTACGCAACAATCGTGACGCGCGCTTTTGATAATATTGCATGGAGAAAAATGCATAATTGTGTTGTATGGTGAATTATGTATATGTTGTATATTGTGACAAACTTAACTAAGTAAGTTTATTGGTACAGAGAAAATTTTCCATATAACGTTCTGTTATATAAATCGACTAATCTTTAAGTTAATACAAGAAACAAAAAAAAAGGCCATCTATATCGAGTCTAAAGTATAATTATCGCGTATCGTGAAAATTATGCAAATAAAATTGGTGTATCATAAAAAAAAAATAAAGAAGCAGAGAAAAACTTTAGATATTTTTAAGTAAACACAAATTGTATTAATTATTAAAAGCTAATTTCTTTTTTTTCTTTTTCATTATCATACACCCATTTAATATTCATTATGCTTATAACATATTCATACTTTAGAATTGAGAATATATTTAATAAATGAAATAATAATAATAATATCGTTCTTTATGGAAAGATTTGAGTAGAATTTAATAGGAAAATTTACCTACCAATACTTTAGTTCGATATTACATACATACATAGATATATGCATACGCGTATAGATGTTATTTCAATAAATAATAGGCATTAATAGTAGCATCGAGTTTGATTGTAATTTTATTGATTTTTTTTCTGTCTAGATAAAAATTGAAGGAAATTTTTGCATGATTTAGCGGCGCCTGACGTATACGTAGATCACGTTTCTTGCTCGAACGTTTTACCGAGAAAAATGTGTCATTATTATTATCATTATTTTATCATTATTATTATTATTAATATTATTATTATTTTTACTATTATTATTATCGTTGGCCGATCAACGTTTCACGTAAGTATGCACTTACAAATTCTTCGGTGCTAACGGTTTACGACGCATCGCGAGTTATCAATGAGTCTTCTTGGAAACTAATGGCGTCTAGGAATTCAAGGATTCGCGGAAATTACTAACGATTTTTCCGTTTACAATTATCTATATAGTTAGGAACTTCATTTTCTTATTACACAGTTAATTTGTTCCGCGTTACATCAAAACTGTTTTAAGCAAAATTAAAAGAGTTCGATGAGAGATACACGTCAGTGATAAATTAGAACTGTTCGTGTTTATTATTCATTAAAAAATGATTTTCGTTAATTCGTCATCATAATTGATTAAATAAATGGGTGTCTAAAAAAAAAAGGCATATGCTAAAAAAAATTCAATAAAATTGACAGGAAAATGTGAAAGCAATTAAAAAAGTAGTTGATGCATAACATACATTTATTTGTATATTTTTTACTCTTTGAAAAATAAATAAATAAATTGATTATTGAGAAAGAGTAATTTAATTACTGCAATATATATGCACAAATTGTGAAATAATTGGTCAGTATATACGAATATTTTGTTGAGTACTTATAAATAAATGAAATATCAATACTATATCGCGAATTTTGTCAGTATAATATTGCTTATTTGTGTTCATTCAAAGTTTATTGTTAATACAGATCACTTATAATATCACGTAATGATTTTATTTTATTATAAATATTGATATGATTTATATTTAAAATAGAGGAATGTGTTAATGAATATTTTAGCTTAGTCCCAACAAAATATTAATTCAATAAACAAACTTGACCAACCATTAAAAGAAATGATTACAATTAATTGCCTGCAGCAATTAAAAAATGTAACGAAAATTTGGTTCGATATTGAAAAAGATAAATAAATTTGAAAAGTGAAATATATATAGTTAGATCTATGATAAATGGATGTTGCGTTCTATTCGTGGTCAACAGCACTTAATTCACCTTGCCAGGAGCAAGGCTACGATTTCTTCTATGCCGCGCATAGTAAATTGTGAAAGAATCGTCTCGCATACTTGCCTTTACAAGTATTACAACTCGACTCGAATCTAATCGACTTGGTTATTCGATAGAAACGTAGGACAGCTGCTTCTTACTCGTCGTACACCTTTCTCTCCTAGAATTTCTCGCCCAAAGCTATTTTCTTATATGCGTTCGTTGGCTACTAGGTTACAAGTGTCTCCTATATTTCCTTCGAATATTTTATTTTAATTCATGTTGTTTATTCATTATGTAGAAATTGCATAAATACCTATATATATATATATATATTGTATATACGTGTATTAATTAAAAGAGATAATTATATATTATTCGCCGATTTGTGTAAAGAAATATATCTTTGAGGAAAATTAGTAGATATAAGATACTTTTGTTTGACACTGTACGTATTACATATGTATCTGCGCAGATAAAATTTACATATTGGACATAGACATTTGATAGGACGCGATGATAGAAATGATTAAAGCATTACTCATGATTACTTATTTTCTCATCCCATAGGAATATGTTAATGAGATTATTAATTTTAATGCGGAGGAAACATTTTGAACATATAAAAAATCAATTCTACTTATGAGACGAGTATATAATGACAAGATAGATAAGTTTGAAGAATTCGTTTGGAGTTGCCACAAGTCTTCCATGATTTTCATCATGATCTACGGTGATAAATGTGCATAATATATATATATTATACACACACGCATACACGCATATATATATATATATATATATATATATATGTATGCATGGATCAACCTTCGATGACGTAATGGCAATACAGATGATGCTGTGTAACCGCACTCTTCACGTAATATACCCTTGACTCTTTTAATGAGTATCGCACATTCGTTACGTATGTTGCGCTTCGTAGAACATCCAAGTTGAACTGGAAGTTTGCATCTTCGTCTATATGCGTGAATACCATTTAGATGTTTTATTAATTTCGTATTTAATCGCATCGATAAATGGTCAAATAGGAAATTCATCGAAATGATATAAAATGCAATAATAATAATAATAATACAGATATACGATAGTTATCCCGTGATTAATTGTTAATCATGTCCACTTGTCTTTTTAATTTTTTCCTTTACATCTTTTTTCTTTTTTTTTTTTGTCATCGATAAATAATCAGACCCGACAGAGACCTTGGATTTTTAAAGAGATCGAAATCGAATCGATGATAGAGACTGTAACGTCGCGACAGTTTCATTTTTTTTTCTTTTTTCTTTCTTACAATTACTTTTGTTTTTATTTTTTTACATTTATCTCTTAGAAACATTTGATATACATACGTATCGATTATTACGATAGTGTGGATTGATTCTATCGTCCAAAAATTACTGTCACAAAGAATATATGTAAAGAAATAATATAATATATTATATCTCTACGTTATATATGTGTTATTTCTCACGATTAAATTTTGTTAGATAATTATAGTCCGACGTAAGTCGTGGATAGTACTACAGTAATTTATTCTCGTAATGGTGATCAAAATTACCTTGAATTATCGAGTGTATATATCATTTGCGACGTCTACTTTTGTATTTCGCGTTTATTATATTGAAATCTTATTTCTTTTCGATTAAAATTTATCAAAGTTTCGTACATTTTCTTTTAGACGTGTTATTTGAACTTTTTCGAAAAAGTAGAGTTAAAATTGACGAAGAAAAATAATCAATAAAAGAATACCGAGAATGAAATTGGTATTAACGTTAGAACAGATCACGTTTTGGTTGCATAAAAGTAGTAACGATAACTCGAATACATATATATGGTATGTATTGGTCGTGTATATTGCGCGTAAAATGTTGAACGTTTCTAATTCGTCTTCTTTTTTCTCGTACGGCCTTCTTAAAGGTAATAAAAAGAAAAAAAAACCTGAGAATGACGCAAGGTGGACGCCACCGACAAGAAGATTATCTTTTTCTTCTAATGTCATCTAATGTTTCATTTTGGTTACGACACGCGGTGCACCGAAATAGAAAGATTTAAATGCGAACGATAACATCTTTGCTATTACCAACCACTTGTAACACGTGGCCGCAATTACGAATCGTCATTCCTAACATTCAATTCTACCTGAAAGAAAGAAAGAAAGGGAAATTAGAAAAAAAAAACCATCGAACATTTCTAATCATTCAATAATTCCTCCAAAAATGTTTTGCTCGATTTTAAATGTTAATTTTAAGATTGAATTTTTAATTCGAGAAGAGAATGGAAGAGAGAAGATCTTTATAATGTAATTATTCGTTAAATATTTGTTTTTTCTTTTTATTCTATATTTCATTTCAATAGCAAATTCATCGAGTTGAGAAGTTGCATTAAAAAGATAGAAGCAAAAAAGAAGAAGTATAGATAAAACCGAAGAAATCTATGAATCAAAAATGTCATATTGTTTTTTTTCTTATCACGTTGAGAGAGCTTTAGTTTGAATATTGACAAAAGAAATAAAAAGATAATAGTTATCTTATTAATCGTGATATACGGAAGACGGTTTTTTTCTCTGGCGACCAATGAAAAGCGAGATCGTGGGATCTCGTTTGAGGTGTGTTCTGCGTAGGTACCACGAGTACAACTGTGCAAATACGATTTAGATATTGATATTGAAATGTTCGCGGTACGGTTATTTATCGTTTATGCCTATCGTCGTTATCGTTTTTCATGTCTCTCAAAAAGAAATACGCGTTACTAAAGTGTCCGACGATTGCTTTTTTTCTTTCAAGAACGTCTGCAATACTTTATTTTATATCCATTATTTTGATTATATTAATTATTTCACATATATTGAATTTTATCGTTAAAATATAATTACTAACGTGCATTGAATAAAAGAAATAATTTCGAAATCACATTTTCCATTAGATGAACATTTTATCCTCGAACACATATCACTATAACGAATATACTTTAGTTTAACAATCACAAAATATTACTAAAATACATTACAGCATTTCTTATATATTTTCAATGATTGTTAATTAATCGAAAAAAAATGTGTATTGTAATTTAGAAGCACTGAGTATATGTTCGGCGCACCGTCCTAGTAGAAATCCACCGTTCAACTGAGTCATTGTCTTCTATGAAAGTGTTTTTATTCAATGTTGTTTATATGAGCTTTCAAAGAGTGTTTTTCATTATACATATATGTACATGTAGTCTTAGGAAAGTAATTTAAACAAGTATAAATAGAAGACATTTAAAATAACTTTCGTAGATGATAACGAACCAATCTTACAGTGTATTCCAAAGAGGACAGTACGTGGAACTTAAAAACAGTAATTTTAAACTACAATATACATTTTCTTAGATTAATTTACAAAAAGGTCCAGTCTGAAGGAGAAATTCGAAGAGGACGGTGCTCCGAATATATCTTCCGAGATTTTAGACAATAATAGATACTTCTATCAATTATTTAACAATTATTTTAATAATCTAATACACTTCTCTTTATATTTCAGATTATTTAAATAGATATGTATTGGTTTAAACATTACATACGTATCAATGTACTTTACCACGACGTTTTTTATTTTTTTTTCAAAGAAAAAATGTAGTTAATAGTGGTGCACGATTTTAAGGAATATTCGTTATACCTACTACTTACTCGGGACAGAACGTAGGACATGCGCATAGCACGAAATAATCTTTGCACCTGTTGAATAACGACACCTCTTTGTAGAATGAACGAGAAAGAGAGAAAAAGTGGAAGAGAGACAGAGATAATAGAAGAAGAAGAAGAAGAAGAAGAAGAGCTATTACATACTTCCGCCTTCGTTTTCTATTTTTTTTCTTCTCGTACATTTCTCGCATAAGTATACACATATGTACACAGATATACGATATATTATATATAAATATATATATATATATATATAGATACGTAAGTACATAAGGTAACTAACTAACGCACTGTCATCGATTCACGGTTTAGATTCGGTCGATCGATTCTAAGGGATAATAACGAGCTTGTAAACACTTATCCAGGCTACGTAAATCAACGTTAGCAGTATATTATAGTATGTAATAGCAGCTACGAGATACTAAAAGCTGAGAGGCATGTAATCGGTAACGTCTATTCACGCGTATCGATTGGATCTCTAACGCGTGTGAGGAAAGATCGTCTCTTCAATACTTGCGAGTCATCTTTTTTTCTTTCTTTTTTCCTTTTTTTTTCTCTCCTCGATCTTGTTTAACCCTTTGAATGAAATCCATTGCGAAACTTCAATCATTATCCTATACAATTTAGTTACAAACATTTCGATAGATTTATTATATGATTTTCTTTATTTTTCAATTATTTTTCGATATCAATTACGTTCATTTATTATCTCGAGAAATCACCATGTTTAAATTATTTCGAGTAGAATTGTATTAGAACGGTAAAGAAAAAAAAGCAATTGGAAATATCGAAAATTGGACAGAAGGAACGTTACGTAATGAAAAAATTGTTAGATCGTTCTTAGACGTTTTACGAGGAGTGACGTCGCGAGACAGTCGGTTAATGACCAATTAAAAAGTAAAATTTCTCTATCTATTTTTTTTTTCTCACTTCCTTTATTTCATTATCATCTGACAAAATAAATAAAAAGGATAGAGAAAATATCATGTATAGCAGGGGTATATCGTTTTTTACGAATATATATTATACATTTTAAAATACAAATTAAATGAGAAAATTGAGAGACCAGAAAAAAAATGGTCTCAAATAAAACAGCAGATTGACTTAAAAGATTAATTTCAAGATAGAGTTGATGAAATCTTATCAGCGTTATCAAAGAGATATTATAGAACAATATGTGTGGATCGCATTGGGAGAAAAAAAAACAAGAAGAAGAAGAAGAAAAAGTATCGATACGACGCGTTATTCGATTTCAAAGCTCAGATGGGATAATACTATGAAGGGTTAAACTTCGAATGCAGCCATTATTATAGCCGCAACAAGAGACACTTACTTACTTACTTTACTTTACTTTACTCTTACATACTTACATACTTACATATAGTTTCTCTCTTTATCTCTCTTTAACCAATGCCAAGAAAGAAGAGATGGGAAGAAGAAAGAAGTCGACTACTACTCTGTTGGCGAAGACTGTACAAGTCTGCCTGCTGTGTCGTCGTTCGTTGTCAATTCTGGTGCGTAGTATGTGCGAATGTTCAAGAACGACCGAGTAGAGTGGCAAAGAGAGGAGAGAGAGGAGAGAGAGGAAAAAGGGGGAAATGAGGGGGGACAGAGAGAGAGAGAGGGTGAGGAAAAAGAGAGTAAAGGAGAGGGAGAATAAGAAACATTGGTTTAACCAATAATCGTGCACGATGAGGGGGGCACGGTTGATACCACCACTGTGCTTACGTCGCAATTGTACAAACACACATTCGAACATGCACACACACACATATCTATACTTTTATACATATAATTAGAGTTTTCTACCTACTCACATGGAGAACATGTTGCGTATGTAAGTAGTGGATATATATACCTATATATACCTATATATATATATGTGAAGAGTAGCAAGTAGCTTCTTCGTTTTGTCTTCTTCTTCCTCGTCGAGTTTCCTGGCACGTGCATATCTCTGTCCTTTTCTTTAGATATATTTCTATTTCTCTCATTGTCCATCAGTCAGTGTTCTTCCCTTTCCTTCTTGCGTTGTATTACTCTACACTTCATCTTCTTCTTTATCTTCGTTTCGTGTTCGTTTACTTCGGTAGTAATCAACGATCTTGTGCTCCTACCACTGTGTTAACTCGACTCAACTTGCTCGCCTCTTTAGGGTCAAAGTCAAGCCTGCGAGCCATTCAAGGAGAGAATCTGCACAAGATGTTACAGAAAGAAATTATATCAAGGAATTATTTTCAACTTCAAATATGTGTAATATCTTATTTATTATATATATATATATATATATATAGGTTTAGATTAAAATTTATTTCTAACGGGTAAGCTATACAAATATGATTAAGAGATTTTTCTAGGTGGGGGTATTTATATAATGTAATAAACATTTTTGTTTTCTCTACAAGTTTTTAACATATTTGTCATAGATTAAAATGTATTTTTTCTGTGTATCTCTTTATCAATATTTTTCTTAAATGTTTGCTTACGTAGGATGCAACGTTTGAAAAAAAAAATGATCTTTACGCGTGCGAAAAACGTTTATTTACACTTTATCATCTAATATTATTTATATTGATTTAAAATGAATGGAAGGAATATAGGATATGTTACGTTACGTTTAATAAAATTCCTTTTACGAAATCTCTATTTCTATAGAATATAGATATAATGTAATAAAAATCCTTTCGTTGAACGTTTCGAAGTCATAGACTTATGAACTTGTTACTTTAATCGCTCTGTCAGACTACTGTTTTCCACGTAGGAAGGCTTTTATTCTAATTAGGAACCGATGCCCGAGGGAAGAGCTGTTCCGTTTCTAGCATAGCACAGTTGAAAACATATGATTGTGTTACCGAACACAGCACGACTTGGATAATAGTATTCTATCTTCGCGAACTACATATACGTATGTGTATAATACATACAAAAAAAAAAGATTTATCTATCTCTATAAAAATCTTTAAATTATTAGATCAATTCTTACAATTTTTTAAAACAGAAATATGTATATATATATATATATATATTATATCATATTTCAATAAAAGGGAAGTAAAAAAAGAAATGAAAAGAATAAAAAAAAAGTTTTGCAAATGTCACGTTGTAAAGGAAGGAATATAATTTGGAAATAACATTTATAACGTAGTAGGATGATAAATCATGATAGCCATAAGGTCGCCCATATATGATCGTACAGAATTTTTATAATATGTAAATTACGCGATACGATAAGATGAATTACAATAATTCTACTCCGAAGATTTATAAGGTAGTTTCATTCTGCTTCTTTTTTTTTTTTTATTTCTTTTTTTTTCCGTCTTCTGAAATCGAATGGCTATCGAAAGATCGCTTTGAATTTCATTTCGTTGTTGAACTTTCGTCATCGAAGAATTATCATTGAAAATCATGAGACGTGGCACTAGTTTTACGCGCTCTTTTACGAATCAACTCGTATCCCCAACATCATTCGAGATTTGTTCGATTCGATTCGATTATTCTCGCGTGTTGGTTTCGTGGCTCCCGTGTATAAAACGCGACGACGAGTTTTGTTATCCAACAAGTGGCGTAAAGAAGGTGCCGAGGACGTCAAGAAACCAAGAGGGGCACGGCTTCTAAACTTAGCATTATCTCTTTCTCACTCTCACTTTCTATCAATCCACTCGCGTAATATCAAAAAACGTAACTTTACTTGCGATTAGATTTAACTGGCCATCTACTGTTATAACCAAACTACGATCAACTATCCACGTGAAATATTTCACTTCATTTAGTAACATTTTTGTAGAAATAATTTGTCTAAATGAGCTCACGTTAACCAACCAAACCGGTTCCATTCTTCTCTCTAACGTTATGTGCGATAACGAAATACGAAGTTCGATTTGTTGAACGTTATGTAAGATTATCGAACGCACGAAAGATCACCGAGCCAACCGCTAACATTTTCAAACGTTACCCACATCTCGTGGGAATTTTATATTTGCACGTTTTTTTTTTCTTCTTTTTTTACTCGAAGTTATAATTAAAAAAGGTGTAATGTCGAGTTTGGATAAAGTAATCTCAGGATAAATAATATTGTATTTCTTAAAGTTTGTTATATTCATTTAATCAACAAGACAATCTTAATAATTGTCATATATTTAATGTCTATCTATATGTATAACTCTATTGCAATAACGCAGTTTCTGTATTTTCCATAGTTTAGTAATAGACTATCGCAGTTAGATAAGGTTGGTAACGTTTACACTGACAATGAGACAACGTTACGAGAAAATAAGATAGAATAGAAATTTTCCATCTTTTTCTCTCGTTAACTTTTTGCACGATGTCTTTTCTTTCTCTCTTTCCGGATCATAATCATCGAAGCACGGGTGGTACGTGTATAGTATGTTTAATGAAGTCCGATAAGTAATTGTATGCGTATGTACATATATATATATATATATATATATATATATATTTAAATATTTATCTGTGTAGATACGCGAGCATAAAAGAGAGAAAGAACGTTGTCTATTGCGCCTTTGGCTAACAGTTATAAGGATAACCTATGATCCGTGAGGAGTATAACGATTCTTCTTTGAACGATTCCCTCCTTGTCGGCGGCATTCGTGCATGCGTAATCGAAAATTATCACTACATCACAGCTTGCGCAATAATTACGTTCTCCTGATATATTATTTACGCTAATAGAAGTATTTAAAGAAGAAGAAGAAGAAGAAGAAGAAGAAGAAGACAAAAAAAATCACTCTTCATTACTTTCTTTTATTTATTAAACCCTTAAAACTTACACTCGCACAGTTAACTCGAGCGAATAAGAAGAAGACCCGTATAGAAACGTGCACACTCGAATTAACTCGAGCACCGTCTTATTTTAATGTAAATATATGCTGATATAAAACTTGAGCAATGTGAACAAAAAAAAGACGTCATTATTATTATACAGAAAAAGAAAGTGATTCTTTTAATAGAATATATCTGTAGATTATTTAATCGAATCATTTCGGCGATATTTCGTATGCCTAAAAATATTCGCGGATGCAAAAACAAAGAAAAAAAAAAAATACATGATCTTTTTATGCACGATTGAAAAAATATTGACAAAAAATTATGACTATTTTAATATACATCGCGGTATAATTTAAGCAAATAATTTCTTTAACATTTCGTTTATTAAAAATATCCTAGACTATATGAAGAAATTTTCTCCTTTCTGCACGATTTAATAAAGAAAAAACTTGTCCACTTTTAATATATATTTGCATAATTTTTAATCAAATATCTTTATCAACATTTCGTACTTCTCAAATATTAACGGATAAAATAAAATCAAATGTTTTGCACGGTTTTCGAATAAAATGAAATTTGCGTTAAAGGGTTGGACCGTAGTAGAGAAAAAGAAGAAAAAATCCAGATATTGTTTACTTATTGTAAATTGGCAAAAGAAAATATAAACAATAAGAATAAATTGTATAAGTGTAGTAGTAGTAGAGGTAGCAGTTGAGGTTTTGCAACTTCTTTTCGGCGTGCTTGCCACCTTGCAGGCTATTTTCGAGTACGATACGAGCAAGTATGGGGAAGGAGTGAGTTAAAGAGAGAGAGAGAGAGGTCGAATGTGTTCTAAAAATAAACGACGAGCACATTGCGAGCCATTTTATTCGGTGGGAGCAGTGAGTTAGCTCGTAGATCGTATTTTGTGGAGGTGGTAAGGTCGAATGTGCGTTGTGTCGAACGAACATTTATGCCACATTGTGGCGGCTTTCGATTTATAACGGGTGTTTATAATATTACGATGAGTACAGATATTTACTTATTTTTTTCGATTGCAATTGCAGGTCATTTAACTCAAAGCATCGAATTTATTTTCTATCTTTCAATAATTCTACCGATTATATTCTATACTATATTCATTTGATTTAATTTTTAACTTTAACGATAAAACGTATGCACACAAACACACGGAGACTGGACAATTTAAATATAGAAATAATTTGTATGTAAAAAGGAGCATTTCTTTTGTCTCGTCTCATATGTCATACGTCGATGACTCTGTTTTCTTCTTGCTGGAGTACGATGTACTACAAGTTTCCTCTTGTTGTTTCCATCATCTCTTTCTCTTGCTCTCTCTCGTCTCTCAAAATTGAAAGATATATTGCTACCCGTTTGTGACCCCTTGCGATGAAAATTTATTCCATTTCGAATTCAAACGAACTCGATCGTGGCCCCACTCTCTTTCCCTTTCATTCCTATGCTTTATCTTTTTTATCATCATCTTATCCTTGGACAGCCATTGTGTAAGATATCTCTACTTTATTTAGTTTACAATAGGAAACAACAAAATATTCAATAAATGAGAATATAAAAAGAAGGAGAGGGATGAAAATGTTTGTTAAAATTTCAGATCTATCATTTATTCGAAATACTTCAGTCGTGTTGGGAATCCTAATAATTTCGTGATTTATTCGAAATACTTATAACCTATTTTAAGAAATAGAAAAAAATCAATTTATTTCCAGTGCGAGTAACGTAGCAAACATTTTTTTTATATATATCATTCTCTGGTGTAACTTAACGGAAGTTGTCGTTGAGTCTTCGCGTAGATCTTCGTCGTTTCTCAAAATATCA